AGTTTACTTATTGAAGAAAGCAAACTTATTGGACGGTAGTTAGAAGCTTCAGCTGGATTTTATCCGGCTTCAAAATTGGAACAACTTTTGCATTTTTCCATTTATCAGGAAAGTATGCCAAATGGAAACATCTGTTAAATAATTTTACCAAGAAAGACAAGGTACTCTCTGGGAGTTTTTTGATGAGGATATAGAAAATTCCATCATCACCTGGAGCTTTCATATTTTGAAAATTTTTAGTTATAGACCTTACTTCGTCCAAATCAGTCCCCCAGGAATCATCAAAAATATTTTCCCGAGAGAAAATATTCAGATAATCCCGAGCAACCTGATTCTCAATAGGACTAGTAAGACCCAAACTGAAATTATGGGAACTCTCGAATTGCTTAGCAAGTTTCTGAGCTTTTTCCAAATTTGTGATCAAAATTTTACCACCTTCTTTAAGCGCTGGAATAGGCTTTTGAGGTTTTTTCAAAATTTTTGTGAGTTTCCAAAAGGGTTTGGAACTCGGGTCTAATTTAGAAATATTATTTTCAAAAGTTTTGTTCCTCAGGGCAGAGAATCGCTTTTTAATTTGTTTTTGCAAATCCCGCCAGATAACCTTCATGGCAGGATCGCGTGTTCTTTGATATTGTCTCCTACGGACATTTTTAAGACGGATCAAGAGCTGAAGATCATCGTCTATTATAATTGAATCGAATTTAACCTCGCATTTTGGTACTGAGGCAGCTCTTGCTTCAACTATAGAAGTAGTCAGAGATTCAAGAGCATAATTAATTTCATCTTTGGTTTGCAAAGGAATGTTTGGATCGAAGTTATATTCCATAAATGTTCGATACTGCTCCCAATCAGCTCTATGGTAATTGAAAGTAGAGCTGTTGGGATTAGAAATTATTTCTTGGGATATTTCAAAAGTTACTGGAAGGTGATCAGAACCGAAGTCAGCATGGGTAACCAATTGGCTACAAAGTTGACATGAATCAGTTAAGACCAAATCAATAGTGGAGGGATTTCTTGCAGAAGAAAAGCATGTTGGGCTGTTTGGATATTGAATAGTGTAATAACCTGCAGAGCAATCATCAAACAGAATATTACCATTGGAATTGCTTTGAGCATTATTCCATGAGCGGTGTTTTGCATTAAAATCGCCAATAATGAAGAATTTAGACCTATGACGGGTATGTTTATGAAGGTCACCCTCGAGAAAATTCTTTTGGAATGACAAATGGGCAGCAATAAACGTAAGTTGTCCAAATTTTGTTTCGACAGAAACTCCCAAAGTTTCAAAAGCATTGGTTTCAAATGAAGAATGAATTTTATGTTTGATTCGTCTATGAACAATGATGGCAACGCCACCACAGGGTCCATCAAGACGATCATTTCTATAAATCAAGTAATTTGCGTCCTTCTTAACCTTATGGGCAGGTTTAAGGAACGTTTCAGTTATAACGGCAATATGCACGTTATGAACTCTCAAAAAGTTAAATAGCTCGTCTTCATTATCTTTAAGAGATCGAGCATTCCAATTTACAATATTTAATGCTTTAAAATCCATTACTGAATTTTAAAGTCATGACAATATTATTTGCAAATTTTACTCCAGTTTGAATAGCATCAAACATGGAGTTAGATTTAAGCATATCAGAAATCATGTCAATTAATGAATTCTGTAAAAATTCCATTTTGAGGGCAGTAATGCTTCCGTTGGTTAGTATTTTGATTTCTACCCGGTGCAATAGCAGCATAGGTAGCTCCATTAACTCGCTGAACATTGTTAGCAGCGAGGGGAGTAGGTACAGATGAAACATTTGAAGCAGGGGTGATATTTGTACCTACGGGTACGAATGTAGAATTTGTTCCTCGCTGACCGTTGTTAACAGCAGAGGAATTTGTACCTGGTCGGAAACGTGGAGCGTTTCCTACCTGACGGTTAGAACGAGATTGTAGGATCGCTTTGCGAGTCTTACATTCCCAAAAATTGGATTTGTGGTTTTCACCACAATTTGAACATTTAAATTTCTTAGGATCTTCCTTCACAGGACAGTCGTCCTTTGCGTGAGAGGAATCACCACAATTCATGCATTTAGCTGGCATGTAGCAATTTTTAGTTCCGTGACCCCATCCCTGGCACTTACGGCACTGGGTGAGGTTTTGGAAATTTCCTCCAGTCTTCCTGAAGTGTTCCCACTTCACTCGGACATGGAGCATAAGGCTAGCTTTTTCTAAGGCCTTAAGGTTGTTTAGTTCACTAGACTTGAAGTGAACTAAATAAAAATCATTAGAAATCCCGTTACGCGAATCGCCAGGACGGGATTTCATTTTCATTTTGATTACTTGGAGTGGCACAACTCCAAGTAATTTTGCCAGTTCATCTTTGATCTGATCCAGGGATTCACCACTGGGCAGTCCTTTCATGACAACCTTGAACACACGTTCAGTTTTGGTGTCGTAAGTAAAAAATTTGTGCTTCTTCTCAGTAAGATACTTGAGAAGACATTTAAATCCGTCCAAGGTTTCAGCCAATACACGGCATTCACCCCGACGTCCAATTTGTAGTGAAAACTTAACTTTCACGAAATTCAAAAGTTCCATGCGAAGAGCATGGAAATCGGTAGTGGTTATCACAATAGGGGGAATCTTTTCCTTCTTGGCATTAAGCCGGGAAAGTTTACTAGAATTTTTCTTGGATGATGGATCATTCTCATCATCCGTGAGCAAATCAAATTGATTACTCAAATTAATTTCATCAGAAGGGGGGTCAAGAGTTTGCCCCTTTCTTTTGCGTTTAGGCGCCATGGCGGCAGTAAATTTTTATCCAAATCGACTTCCAAGCAGATTACTATAAGAATCTGAAGGATCGAAGAGGAATTTTCCAAATCGATATCCAAGAAGGATTACCTCGGGAAGGGTCCAAACAAGGATCGAAGAGGAATAAGAGTTGAAAAAGGTAGAAAATTTTTACAGGTTGAGCACTGAAAAGTGCTGTTTAAATTTGTTGTAGCTTTAGGTAGTAGTAACACTTCCTTCAGCAAAAAGCAAATAGATCCGCACGGCAAGAGAGCACGATGCGGACTGCAGCTAAAATGCTATTTTTCGTAACTATGAAGCTATGAGATATTATAATAATAATTTTAATTTGTAAGAAGCAAGAAGAGGTGGAAAAGCTTGTGGTTGACTTATAAAATCTGTCAATTTTGCTTTCAGAAGGTCACAACTAGCGATTTTATGATCACTGATTGCTCGCTCATCGCGTTGCTCATCGTTACAGCTAATCGCTATTGTGATCCTTTGTTAGCTAAATTGACAGGTTGTATGTGTCATGTACACATTTTACCTTCTTTTCTTGCATCTTGTAAATAACAATTATCATTGAAATATCTCATAGCTTCATAAATCCGAAAAATATCATTTGATATTTGAAGTGCCTACAATTTTACAGAACCATACTATCTCGCAGTCCGTTCAAGAAACTTCTCCTTCTTCTCTCATTCCTTGGAACTTCTTTAAAGTTTCTACGATATTTGTGGATTGCTCCTTGAGTTTCTGGAACTTCCCTGAAGTTCTCGTTACTCTTCTGTTGATGTTCCTGCACACTTAGAAATACCTAATTTTACACGTGATGGAATCCATCTCTGGCATAAAGGATGAGACGTAAACAAACATTATATAAGTGTTCATATCAATTTCTTAAATATCTAGATTCCACCTTATTATATTATATAAGAGGTAGAGAGCAGTGTTGGAAAAGTTCGCGATATTTCACGAAGTTCTCCAAGGGAAAAGTTCGCGAGTCATAGTGATTTTTTGCGAACTTTTCCATCACTGGTAGAGAGGGTATTCAAACGTACATTCTCAGTGACACCTTAACTTTAGACAACACACATTCGTTGACGGAATTCAATGGTATCCATCTTAAATATATTTAGTATAAGTGATGCGAGATAAAATACCGTTATGCACCGAAATCCAAAACCTTAGTCCATAAATCCGGAAACCTATTAAAATTGATTATCAATTCCTAGTATGCTCAAAAAAGTACAAAAAATTTATCTAGACTAACACCGTTCAGAATCACCACACATGTTTGTTATGTTACAAATTAGACGAAATAATAAATTTAAAAAAAAATTCAGATTAGTGTACCGTCCAGTATTCGGAGAATTCCGGTCATATGTTGAAAATGACAAGCAAGTTTGCAAAACAAACTATTTTAAGCCTATCAAACATCATTCTATTCAACATATGTACATATATCTACTTCAAAGTCATACAGCACAGATGCAGGCATGCGCTTTTATACATGTTTTTCCCATCTTTCAATAACTTGAACGAAAATATGAGAAGCAGCACCGTTGCTGCCTCAAACATTCCCAGACCATTCCAATGACCATCTGGTTCAAAAGATCGAAACATTACTTCCCGTTCGGAATTTTCACATTGGTAAAAACTACTACCGTCTTCTTTTCAACTTCAAAGCTCCGGTCCGAAACACGGAACACGTAAAACTTCCTCTTGCCAAGCTTCAACATCTTCCATCTCCTGACTGCAACAACTCTTCGGAACGCTTAGGGAGAAAATTCAATTTCCAACTTCAAAATCCATAAATCATCAAAGAGCATCTGGTTTGACCCACTTTCTGTCCCCCTCTATCTCTTCCGTCTCCCTTGCCCGGCAGAATGTAATGCTTGCACGAAATTCCCGATGATGTAATACGTAACGACCGTTTATTGCGAGAGCGGATGTCTCGTCGAACTTGTGTTTCAAAATGACGCTTCTTTTTTTTTTGTCGCCCGATCACCGTTGACTCCAGCTGGTCCTCTGGTGGCGTGATGCACGCGACGTCATCCTGGTGATAGTGGATTCGGTGGCTAAAACATTTTATACGGGCTGCTGCAGCCTCAATATGCAACGCTCAACTAGCGCGCTGGTTCAGCGTTGTCGTTCGTTTGCAGCAGCCATCCCCTGAGAAACCACATGGTCTCCCGAAACGTTATACTTACTAGCTTCAACCATATGTTAGTAACGAGCAGTTGATTTTTTTCGTCCTGCAAAGAAAATAAAGAAAAAAAGACGATTAGATGCGGCGGGGTAAAACGGCAAAAAGGCAGAAAGTAGGAGAACGGTCAACCGTGTCAATGTGCTATAATCAGCCAGCGTAGCGGACGCTACTCTCTCGTCTATGCCAACACGCGTGAGGTAGCCGATGAGATCGACTCAAAAGAGAGTGGTTTTTCACTCAAAATCGAAAAACCGAAAATCCTTCCATATACTACCCCTTGCCTCAAAAATCTGCTGAGTGACTGAGTGAATTAGAAAAGTTTTCCTGGAAAATCGAGCCGGTCTCTGTAAGTAACCTTCATTTTTGCGAACTTGAGTGAACGAAACTTAAATTTGAGTTGGTTTAATCGACCGTGCACGAGTGTGTATGGTCAACTTTCAGTCAAACTGATTCAACAAAACGAACGAGCGAATGAACGGTGGCATCTTGCTGCTTGTTCTCGTTTGCCGTTTTCGGTGACCCTTATCAAAGACTCTTGTTGTTGTTGTGCCTGACGATGTGCGGTGCTATTTTTTTCTACTTTGTTCGCTTCAGAAGCGAATGTCGTCTATTTTCAGCTTAGATGGAGCGATAAGTGAACGGTTCACGTTTTTTTGAAGCTATTTTTGAGAAACAGCATCATGCGGTTTCCGTGGTGTAGTGGTTATCACATCCGCCTAACACGCGGAAGGCCCCCGGTTCGATCCCGGGCGGAAACAGAAGCTTTTTATTGGCATGACTTTATCCTGATTTTTATCATCTGCCTTGTTCTCGCAGTAGCCATTGCCTAGGTTGAAATAATTCTATTTTTTATTTTAATTAATTTATTTGTACAGGCTTAATCGAATAAACTTTACAAAGCCGAGTTATCATTTCGTTATACATTATTTATGTCTTATATTTAAAGTTAAAGGAACTTGACCGAATACTCGCGGTTGTCTCGAGGTTAGTAGACATTTACAATATTTTGAATGGGAAAAGGGAGAGTTGAAATGTGGTTTACGATACAAATATTTAATTAATCCTAAAACATGAACTTATTTCTATTCATCTTGAAAACGAACATAAAAAAAACACACACTTACAAAATACAAACACAAGGTTAATCAAACTTACAATCTAAGGTTAATATTCTTAAAGTAAAGTTTCATAAACTCATATATGTTTATTTAAAAAAATATGAACAAAACAAACGAAGCACACAAGTTAGGGGTTCTGTTCATAAACTACGTAGACAGTTAAGAGGGGGGGGGAGTGGGGTTGGCAATTATCCACGGCCCATACACGGCACGTAGTTAATGAACAGCCCCTTACTTCCTTTTTTTTAACTCTTGTACTTGAGAATGATTGTAACTCTGTTGACTTATTTACTACTTGTTGTTATAAGTCAGTTTTGGAAACATGAGCAAACTTGATTACAACTGCATTATTACTTACTAATGTCTTTAGTGTAATAAATAAGTTTTGATTACAGTTATTTCACTTATTAATTATATCTACTGTTTGTTTCAAAAAGTTACCAGTGTCGATAAATATTATCAATATGTTGTTTAGAATATGGTGAATATAAATTGTGCTAATCTTATTGTTTGAGAATCGTTATACATTATTAAGAAAGTCTTTGAAATTTTTCTAATTCTGTCACCTATTAAAAAAAAATGTTTTTGATAGGAACTGGGACACAAATTGGGAAAAGCGTACAAGAGCTTCACAACACATTGAGAACTAAAACTAAAATTATACAAATGGGAAATTTTGAAATGTTCCTGGTTCCTGGAATACCAGGGTAGTTATTTATACCATACAGTTCTGTTCGATACAATAGCAGTGCCTGTGCATGATGATTTTTGTACAAAATTGACAACTTGGACCAGTGAGTGAGTTTAGCAAATGGATATTTTTCCACTCTCATACGCTCCACGCTTGATATTGGAGCAAAATATAATGCTTGATATTGGTTTTACAACCTCCTTTAATATTGCGAAACTATTCACAACGTGTAAAGTTGAATCCTCCATTGAAGTATTCATTATCTTCACCGATGGCAAACACGAAGCGACTACTGCTAGCCGTTATGGAAGTTTCAGTTGCGTTCGGGTGTAAAGCAAAAATCATGAAACTCAATCTCACCACAGTTTGGAGAGATTTGAAGTTGGTGAGTTTTGTTAGATAGATATTCCAAGCTTCGACAGCACAGCTTGCAATTTCAACCGCAGTTGTGTGCTTGTTGATTATTATCTACGAAAATCAAGCGTGATTTTTGGCTTTGGTGAGATTTGATTTTTTGATATTTTTCCAACACTGACTTTGACATTCAAAGTGTTTTTTGTAACTTCATAGGTGAAGTTCCAACGAGAGTTGGTTGGAAATACTATACTAATATCAACATGAAGCTTTAGTGTGATAATTCATTAACTAGAGAAAGTTCTGAAAAGGATAGGATGATAGTTCCGCTAGAGCAGGGCAGTGTGAAAATTGAATAGAAGTTGAAATTACTGCGACAGTACTAGCAACCGGTGGAAACTAACGATTTTAAACAAGATCACTACTTGACTAGCCTATTGGTCCCAAGTACATCAATAAGCGTTCCCCATTCTAGTCAACATTATAGCACTACACTTTGTTTGTTTTGATTCGCTATGAAAGTTTGACAGATAAAATGAGGGGTTCGTGGATTTTCCTATGTTTCGAGGGGTACATCGATTAGCTTGGGACCGAAGAGAGGACCATAGCTGAGCCGAAAATTTGAGCACATTTTTTCGGGACCTTCTGGTCTTAGAGTTACCTCTATGGTACTAGTCAAACGCACACTCCTCTGCCACGTTGCCGATAGCATATCCAGGGGATGGTGTGTCATAATGAATTTCTTCTTTACCCCACTATTGTATTGCTCCTCTCGTCATGAGCAACGTAGTCATCTCAGAGAGAAAAGCAGTAGAGTTTACATGTTGTTCCTTCGTTTTTGATCAATTGAGCTGAAACGTTCGCCACAGAACAACAAATATATTCAATTTTACGATTACAAATTACCAAATTTTTTGAAGCACCTGCCGGCCAGTGAATGCAATTATTTTTAAGTATCATGCACATTTGTTAATTTGGTGAGGATTGTTTGAATTTTGTAAAATCAATCACGCAAATTGTTTATTGTTTATTTGGAGGGAAAAGCCCACACTAGTGGGCGCAAAACCTCATCCTTTCCTGTACCAACAGATAACATGGAATCCTACAGATACATTTGCTTGAACTAAGTCCTAAACATATAAAAGGATATTAATGATAACATAATTAACTTAATTTAAGTACATAAAACAGAAACCGTCAGGAAGTCAAAAGTACATTATAAAACAGATTCTTAATTCAGTTATAACATTTGTTGAAAATCTTGCACATGCTAGTTAACGGCTCATTAGCGCCGTAGTTTGTGCGAGAAGCCGGGATGTTGAAAAAATATTAAGAACGTAAATTTACCCGTCTGATATTGACATTCAACTGCTGCAGAAGTGAACCGCAATTGATGTCCGATCGCAGGAGATCAGCGATAAAGGTAGCCTTAGAGACGCCTCGGCGAACACTAAGTAATTGTAAGGACATCAAATTACAACGACATTCATAACTAGGGAGATTGAAAGGATCACTTCAGGGTAGCCAATGAAGGGTGAAACGTACAAATCTTCGCTGAATGGCCTCAATACGATTCACCCCGTTGCTGTAAAAAGGAGCCTATACAACGGAACAGTACTCTAATGTGGACCGGACTAGTGTACAATAGAGTGTTTTTAAACAGAAAATGTCACTAAAGTTTTTGGCGAAACGAAAAATGAAACCAAGTTGAGAAGATGCCTTAGCGGAAACATAAGCCACATGGTCCTTGAAGGTGAGTTGTGAATCAAGTAGAACGCCTAAGTCTTTAATGGTAGATTCACGGCTTAATATTTGCTCCTGCAGGCTGTAAGCATAATAGATAGGTGATTTTTTTTTCCTGGAAAACGTTATAATGGCACATTTAGAAGCATTTAACACCATCCTGTTCTTGTCACATCAAACAGTAAAAACGTCCAGCTGCTGCTGAAGAAACAATGCATCAATTCGATCTTTGATGACAAAGTATAGTAAATCGTCAGCATAATACAGCTTCAGGCAACGGATCGAAAAGTGAACGTCATTCAGATCTAATAAAAATATGAACGGTCCCAGATGACTGCCTTGAGGTTCACCAGAAGAAACAGCGAACGGTTGAGAAAAATGATCTCCAATCTTCACTGACATATGTCGACCGGTGAGGTATGAGCGAAGCCAATCAAGAAGGGAACCGTGAAAACCAAGTCGCTCTAGTTTGGCCACTGCAATCTCGTGATTGATTTTATCAAAAGCAGCAGAAAGATCGGTGTAGATAGCATCCACTTGATGACCTCTTTCCATCTCGCGTATGATTGATGATGTGTATTGAACGAGATTTGTAGCGGTCGACCTCTTCGGCATAAAACCGTGCTGTTCCGTCACGATGTAACTAGAGCATGTGTGTTTTAAATAATCTAGCACCAATAGTTCAAAAAATTTTGAGACTGCACATAAAGCAGCGATACCACGGTAGTTGGACACCGACTGCTTATTGCCTTTTTTGAAGACAGGGAAAGAAAGAAAGAAACCAAAGAGAGGTTGAAGATGGATGCTAAAGGTGCGGCCAGCACTCCAATACAGTTCTTAATAACCGCGGAAGGGATTCCATCAGGGCCAGTGCTGAAAGAATTTTTTAAACGAAGGCCTGCTCTACGAACATCTTTAGTCGAAATAGGCGGATGCGGCCCAACAGCAGAAAGTACTGGAACATCACTTACGGCGGCTACGATGTGCTCGTTAGGTAAATTTTCTTTGACGAAGACACTGCTGAATTGTGACATGAACAGGTCAGCGATTCCCTCCGTATATGATTCTTCTTGATCCGTATTGTACATTGTAGAAGGTAAGCCCGATTCCTTCCGTTGATCGTTCACATGATTCCAGAAG